TTAAAATCATTATTTGTAGTCATCAAACTTTGTTCATTTTTAAAGTGTTTTGGCTATTTCTTTACACTTGCATATGAATTTTACAGTGTCAATTTCTATAAAATCTATGGTTTTCTTGTAGTTCCTTTTTCTGTTCTTGGTTAATGCTGGTCTTATAGCATATCTTAGGAAGGAGTTTCCTAATCTTTTAGTTTCCTGGAAGAGTTTATGTAAAATTGGCATCACTTCTTTCTTAAATGTTTGGTAGGATTCACTACTGAAGCCATGTGGGTGTCCAGTTTTCCCTATGGCAACATGTTTAACTATATATTAAATTTCTTTTACAAATAAAAATTATTCAGATTATTTTATATATACATATGCTTTTACAGTTTGTGTCTTTCAAGAAATTTTGTCATCTTTTTTTATTGATTTTTATAGAACTACTGTGACTATACTGGCCATTTTAATTGTCTTCACCACATACCCAGGTAAGAGGTAACTATGGTTCATGATGAATGAGTTAATTAATTTGTGGTAACAAGAACATAATATATATGTATATCAAATCATCTTGTTATTCTCCTTAAATATATACAATTTATTGTATAATATATATAAATATATACAAACTATTAAAATACAATAAAAGAATACAATATATGTTTCCAGGTTTCTCCAGATTTTCTAAGGTTTGAAGCTAGAATGAGCATACAATAAAATATAAATTGGTATAGTTAAGAGGCCCCTGTGAAAATACAGAATTAGCTTTACTTGATTGCCACATGGTTACATATTTCAAAGCGAATGAAAAATTAAGAGATCCACACTAAAATGTCCTTAAGAAGTGTATGAAAACTTCACTGCAGATTAATAAGATTACTGAAATTTTAAGTACTTTGCTTTTGTATGGATAACTAAAAGCACTGATAATGTAAAATATTTCTGTGAAGTTAAGCAATTTGTTCATATAAACAAATCTTTTTTTCCCCCTTTCCTTTCTTGGGAGAATTATTCAAACTCTCCAGGGCCTCAAGTTATTCAGACTAGATATTTGCTAAGATTTCTTCTAGACTTAAATATACTTTTATTCCAATTCTTAGAAATTATTTCAAAATTAAGTTTTTAATCTCAACTAATTCTGAAGAGTTTTATATCAATTTGAAGATAAGTATACACAATTGTCTAGTAAATAATTTGTAGCTACTATAAAGTGATTTTTTAGAAGTATTTGATATCTGCCCATCTAAAGTAATATTGTTTGGGGAAAGATGAAATGGAATCACAAATAAAATCTTTATACTTCAAGTTTCAAAGGACAATAAATGTCTTAAGATTTTTAACCAAGTCAGTGTGACATTTGCTTTATTATCAGTCCTTTCACTTATTAATCTTACCAACAAAAAATTTAAAAGTTAATTTTTTGAAAGACAACTTGGCATTGTTGCAACAGCTATTAAAATACAGGATTAACTTGTGGGAATTTCCAAGTCCTTGATGGAGGAATGTTAGAACAGGTAGTTAGGCAGACATGAGCAAAACGGGTAGAGAAAGGAAATTCAGGCTGTTCCAGGCAACACCCAATTGGCCAAAGAACTGTCTTCTTGAGGTTGGTCAGACAGCTCCCTGCCATTGTGGAGAAAATGGGTACAGTCTATGTTGCAAAAATTTCTAACATGACAAAATCAGTGTGCAAGCACACTAAACCACGCAGGAAAGTGTAGTAACCGCCTCAGATAAACAATTCAGAGTGGGAGAATCCCCAGCAGGACATAAAAGCCCACAATGTAGAATACACAGGCCATATCCTCTCTTGGAAGCAGTCTGCTCCATATACCTCAGAGTATTAATTCCATTTCATTAAGTAAATCCATCATGCTTTTCTAACAGATAAATCAATAAATAAACTGTTGGAATGTAAGTTCTTCATGAACCCTAGATATCAAGATTGTTTTTGTGAAGAACATACATGATCAGAAAAAAAGCATTTTACTGGCCATTATATTGTCTGGACACTCTTTAAGAGCACATGGACACAATCAAGAGCCAGGCTCTAGTTTAGATATAAAAGTTTCACAGAAAAACTCTATGGGATATGTGTAATAGGAAACATTTAAAAATTCTATTATAACAGAATATAAAGATATAGATTTAGTTATTGTTTATCCTCTGCTCATTTTTTGGAAGATTTTAAAAACTAAAATTTTTAATGAAGAAGTTCTGGAAATCCTGTGTGTGGCTTATCATCCAATTTGTCTTTATATCCAAGAAGAAACTATATATTTTAAATAAACAGAAGCTTGGGTCAATCTAATATTTTGGAGGAAGACTGTCTATATCTGCGGCTTCTGGTGATACCCTGAAATACATCCCTGGGTCTCTCCTGGAGTTCAACCACAAATGTAATAGAGAGTCGTACTCAATCTTTTGGGTTTCATCTTTTGGTGGAGCAACCCATCTCAAGTGAAAGCCTCATTCTTCAGTCTCCAATTCAGTGTCCTTTTTAATGCCACAGAAGACCCCAAGGCCTATGAGCAAGGAGATCCCACAAGTGTAAGGCGTAATACCCCCTAGTAACAGTCCCAGGCTAGTGCACAAATGCTCCACCCTCCAGTCTTCAGATGGGCAATTCTGGGAAGCATTATACTCATTTGTAAGGAGTGCTAGTACTGAAATCAGATCTCAAGTACCCACAATGACTATCTCAGTAATATATCCTTGTATTGGATTTTCTTCCCTCTTTCATTCTGGTTGCTCTCATTTCTATTTCCTGGGGTTACTTCAAGTATCTATCTCAGAGTATGCTTTAGGTATGAGAAGTGACTCTGGAAAGAAAATCCATTAGGATGGAATTCTGGACTAGATCATTTACTCCTATTTCTAGGTTAAGAAGGATGGTAATTGCCCCCCGTGTGCATCATAATTCCTGTGAATCTCATCTATGGTGGAATAGGGTGAGAAGTAATGGAGTAACTGGTAGTTCTGTCACTAGAACAGCATGGGGGCAAAGGATTATGGAACTCACTAGCATTTGTTAACTGCCTTGGATATTTTGAGAAGAGAAATTGACAGGCCCAGATTGGCCAATCATCAACCTTGAGCATATTGTGGAAGCCAAAAGGCCTCCTGTCCAGGAAAATCAGACCCAGAGTGTAAAAATGGTAAAGGAGAGGAGAGGTACAACCTCAACAAGTTTACTTTGCTAAGCCAGGGCCCTGATAGCAAAGGGGTGTGACTGAGATATGGGATGAGAAAATCTGGGCTTCAGAGGCCTGAATCCCTGGTTTCCTCTAAGCCCACTACACCATCCAAAGAGCTCTTTCTTTCACAATCAAGGAAAGGAGCCTCCCCTTACCTGGAGACCACTCAGAGTGTTACCTGAAGCTGGTGACTTATAAGAGAACTCTCATCCCTAAGACCCAACTCTACTCTCTGGCATTATTTCAAGAAGATTAAATGATATCGGGTTTCATCTGAGAGGGAAAATATATTTATTGAGCTGGGAAGAAATAGGTTCCGTACTGAAAGGATTTCAGGAACTGGCTGGTTAAGTACTGCTAGTAAGCTAGATAACATGTGAGAATAGATCTTTGAGTTTACTGGATCAGAGAGACAGAATGTAAGGTTGGATAAAGGAGACCTTATTGGCCAAAGTAACCATTCTCTGGGACAAGAAGAACTCAACTCTTTAGGTCTCTTTACCAGGCAACCAACTTTGTCCAGCAGAGTTTCTGGCACAGACCAAGAGAAATCTAAAGTGGGTGGTGAAGGAAGGAGATGATGATATTAGTTTTGGTCTGGATTGAGGTGCAGCAACAAGGACTGCAGCTAATCTTCCTGTGTAGTCTTTTAGGAAGGCTATAGCTGGCCATCATCTAGAAGTCTCGGTGACAGAGTAGACTTAACATGGAACGGTCAAAAAGTGGACAGCAGCAAACACCTCTTTTGCTCCACATTATTTCTTTTCTGCTTCTAGTAGCAGCCATAGTTTCCCTGGATAGTTCTAAGTAAGCTCAGGTTTGTCCTTCTTGTCAGTGAAATGCCAATGTAAGCATGAGCATCTTGATCTGCTTGCTATTCCAAGTCCTGCTTCAATATTGGGAGATACTGTTTCCCCCCCCAAAAAAACAGCACAGCCCAGAAGTGTAGGGGAAGTTAATGCCCCTGGCAGCAACTCTCAACTATAATGGGTAATGAAAACTGCTAACTAAATGTCTGCAGTTCTATCAGGTGGACAATATTGGGAAGCAGTCTATAAGCTTCTTAGGAGGTCTTAGAGCACTCAAGACCAAAATAGTAACCTTGATAATACAATACATCTTCATATTGGTTTTTTCCTTCTTCTCCATGTTCTCTTATTTATGCTTCCTGAGATCACCTCACAAATGACCTACAGACATCCAAATCTCTTCTCTGACTCTACTTTCAGGTGCCCTAAACTAGGTTGAGAACCACTAACCAAATGCATTTAAGTCTCTTCATCTAAGTATTTTTGGGATTTTCTAGATATTAACCAAAAAAATATTTGTTTATGAAGAATTTTTTTGCAAGGCGAGGTGAGAGCATTTTCATTTTGTGCAAATGAAGTTTTCCGGTTTAGGCAATAAAGAAGCTGATGACAATGATGCTTGCTTACTCTGAACCACATTATAACTACCTTCAATATTTCTACTTGAAAATAAATAAAAACATCTCACTTTCATACTCATATGAACTATTGGCCAAGGGGTAATGTGCATACTAATAAATACTATCAATAAGTTCCAGATCCATAATAGATATGACATATAAGTTTCAAGTTGTCACAATTTCATTCCAATATTATCTTCTATCAGAAATTTCTTTAACAATTTTTAGAATAAAAATGTATATAACTTTCCATGCTAAAATATTCACATTAACTTCATTCTATAATGCTCACTGCATTCCTGGAATAGCTTACCTTCATTTTAAAACACTAGTTGCAATTTAGGTCATTCTATTTTTGATTTCAGAACCCTTATTTTGGTAACAAGACATACTTGCAGGTTATAAATGCTTTATTTTTTTTTTTTTAACATGAAAAAGCTTGGTGGTAAATATGTGGCTATTTGATGTTTTCTATGATGAAGAGAGTCAGACTCTCTCATAGAATGTAAACGTACCCTTACACATGTATATGTAATTTTTATCAAAATTCAGCTTAGTCACTGAAAGAAGACTCGCTATCTGAACTTTCTTCTACAGTCCTTTCACTTTCACCATCAGGCACTGGAGCATCTGGCCTTCTGAAAGAGAAGAAGGAAAACAATTTTTAAAGGTTTTTTCCAATTGAAGAGAAGCACTTACAAACTGTAAATTAGGTTCATCTTAGTCTACGGAGGCTAATAAATCTGCCAACTCTGTGTCCTTAAATGAGGGAGCCTCCTGCACTATAACAGCATGATTCTCTCTGGCTTCTGCGCTCCATGGGGATTAAGTGCTATTCCTGTAAGGCCACGGCTCTATTTTCTCTTGCCAGCCCTTACATAGTGTGCTACTTCAGCAGTTTCTGCTTCTCATTACCATGGAGACCCAACTATAGACAGAGATGTGATCTGTAGAAGCTGTCATGACCAATGCTAAATCCCTGCCACCTCAAGTGTACATGAGGCACAGAGAAAGGAAAGCTAGAAGTGGAGAGGAAAGGAAAGTCTTCATGTTCAGGAAAGTTGCAGGGAGAAACTTAGAAGAGAGTTCAAGAAAGGCCATGAAGAAAGGTAGGCAGTATGGAAATTTTATGGGGAAGAAAAGTGCCTGGTCAAATGAGGTTCTTAATATTTGTTGGATATTTTCACTTACAAGTTGTAACTCTAGAGAATGAACATAAAAAGTGTTAGTGGGTAAAAAATACCATTTCACAGAGTCCCTGGGCAGACAGAATGGTTAAACTAACTTTGTAGGGGTGTGCTATAAGAAACCAAAGTGAAACTTTATTATTGCTATTAAAGCAGTCATTTAGATACACCCCACTAGTGTTTGTGCCAACAAATCATTTAATCAATGCAGTAGCACTATTGTTCTTTTCATTCTTATCAAGAAAGTAAATTAAGCAAGAGCAGTATTCTTTTGGGAAAATTAAGATGAAAAGGAAGAATAATATAACTACTATGCCTTAATAATGAAAATCACCAGACTATTTCTGCCTCAGGCTCCTTAATTCTTACTAAAGACTTAGGACACTCAATAAATAGAAACTAATAGTAGTAAAATAAGGAAACATATTGTCTACCAGTTAACTTTTAGTTATCAAAAATAATGGCTTACATAAATTGATATGTTTGGCATGCTAATTAACAGAAGGAAATGGCACTGTTCTCTACCTTCAAATATAAACTCTACTGAAAAATTTTAGGTTATACCTGTAAGGCAACCACATATACCAAATACAGTAACACTTTTAAAACTGATAAAACATTTCCAGGTTTTGACTGATGCTCCATCTGCTAAAATACTAACACAGGACCATTATCTCCATCACTCTTCACAAAAGCAACAAACAACTTTATTAGCAGTGGGCATGAGTATTGGGCACACTTTTCCACGTAAATCAGTCTTTATTATGTGGTTGATTTCTTTCATCTCCACTATGTTAGAGGAAAAAATACTAGAGGGAATTACTTCAAAACTGCATCAAGATTATATTAGTATCTATGACAACTCAAATGAATAAAATAATATATGTAACTCCTTAAAACAGATGCTATTTAAAGGTAAAAGTACAAGGGAGTAAAATTTTAAATTTATTGTGTGTGTAATCATTTACAGATACATTTGATACTGTACTGCATACTAGAGTTAAGAACACAGACTCACTTTTGGGTCAGACTGTCTTGTGTTCAAATCCCAGTCTTGCGACTTACTTGTTGAGCAACTTTGACACAATATCTTTATTTTACATTTATGTGGTGCTGAGGATCAAACCCAGTGCCTCGTGCATGCTACGCAAGCACTCTACCACTGAGCCACAACCCCAGCCCAATATTGTTCTTTTTGACTGGCTTATTTTATTTAGCATTGTGTCCTAAAGGTTCATCCTTATTTTAACACGTGTCAGAATTTCCTTCAAGGCTAAATATTTCATCATCATGTGTATGCCAATTTGTTCATCTACTCATCTGTCAGTGGACACTTCCACCTTTTGGCGACTGTGAATAATTCTGCTATGAACATGGGTGCATAGGTATTTCTATGAGAACTTACTTGTGATCTTTATCCAGAGATCTTGCTTTTGATCTTTACCTAGAAGTAGAATTGCTAGAAGATATAGTAATTCTGGTTTTAATTTTTTGAGAAATCACTATACTGTTTTTGGTCTTTGAATGTGGCTTCTTTCACCAAGCATAATATCTTCAAAGTTCACAAATGTTGTAGGACCTATCAGTATTTCATTGTTAAGTACATTTAGTAGTGTTAATAGCAGCTGCATTATTTTATAGTCCCATGAACAGTGAGTGAGGATTCCAGTGTCTTCATATCCTCACCAACACTTGTTACTTACTATCTGCCCTCATTCATTTAAAAATAAATACAATGCTATTTTGACTTGGAATCACTAGAAGAACACAAAGTGTACACTACTTCTCTTAGGGTACAAAAAAGAGAAAAACTTCAAGAAACCACAAAATCAAATGAGGCGTTACACAGGAAAACATTTTATAAGTTACAAAGTCTTAGACAATGTGAATAAAACTCACAGCAATGCCATCGGTTTTAGCCTAGATATCCATATTTTCAGGGGAAACAGAAATTTAGCTCTTTATATTATGAACTGTTGTATTCTTAACTTGATTCTATGCAATATGTATCTTTCATCTTGTTGTTCGTGGAGAAGTTTTAAGACCAGTTTGAAAAGATTACTACTTTAAACTACTAGCCTAAAATTCAACAATTATTAATCCAAACCCAAAGGAAACACATTTCACTACTGAAATCTAGAAATGAGAACTTTATAATAGTTTCTTACTATTTTAAATATATAAATGAATACTAAAGAAGAGTGTATCAGCAATATAGAGAAAAATATATAAAGTCACAAGTACATTCATGATGCATCCTGGATATTTTAAAAAATTCTCCATCTTTAAAATTACATAAAAACACTGCCTTGGTGTTAACATTTGAACAAGTGTATTTTTATATAATCTAAAGCATCAGGATTATCAATAAGTTTTTAATAAAACCAAAAATTTTAAAAAGCTTATGTTTAAACTCATTACTAAGTCTAAATTATCTTTTAAAAATTAAGTATTTTCAAAGAAATTACTAGGTTGACCTTAATTAAAAATGAGCCAAGCTGGGCATAATGGGGCATGCCTATAATCCCAGTGGCTCAGGAGGCTGAAGCAGGAGGATTGCAAGTTCAAAGCGAGCCTCAGCAACTTAGTGAGGCCCTAAGTAACTCAGTGAGACCTTGTCTTTAAATAAAATACAAAAAAGGGAAGGGGATGTGGCTTAGTGGTTGAGTGCTCCTGGATTCAATACCCAGTACCAGAAAAAAAAAAAAGGGGGGGGGGAGCCAAAATTTAGGAAGGAAAGGAGATAGAAGGAAGGACTAAGTATATACAAATCAGTACATTTTAGCAAATAACACTGTGCACATGCTAATTTTGACACTCATTCTTCTCCCTAATTCCTGCTGCCCTCACCCTTTCCCTACCCACTTTCTTGCTTCAGTCATACAATCCAGGCCTGACCAATCACAGGCATCTTTCTTTGGAGGACAAGGGATTCAAAACAAGAGGACACGTAACTCATGCAGGGCCAATTGCAATGATTCTCTAGAAATGAGATACTGTGTTATGGAAAAGTGACTAGAAATATTAAAGCCTTGCTGAGGGTTCTATTTCCTGGTTTCAGAGATAAGGCTCCGTGATTGGAGAGTCGTGTCTTATTACACCAACGAAGTAAAGCTGGTATGATTAGGGGAAACAGAAGATTCCAGCTAGTCAGCCCTGATGACTCTGAGGCCCTACATCCTGTTCTACACATAGACTTTTTAGCTATGAGCCAATAACTTCCCTTTTTGTTTAAGTTGGTTTCTGAAATCCTGAAAGTGAAGGGAGTCCTCAAACACAAATATTGTTGAATAAATTTTTTTCACTGAAGGAAGATTTATATTTGTGTTTAAAGACAGTCACTTTTAAGGACACAAAACCAAACAACAGTCTTTATTTATGCAGATGAAGAGTTTAAAAATATTTTTCATTTTGTTAAATTTAAAAGAATTGAATTTGGGCTGGGGTTGTGGCTCAGCAAGGTGCTGGGTTTGATCCTCAGCACCACATAAAAATAAATAAATAAAATAAATGTACTTAAAAAAAAGAGTTGAATTTAAAGCAGATTAAGTACCAAAAACCGTGTTAGTAAAACTACTGCTGAGCAGGAGATGGTAGGGAAAGGATGTGGTAATTACCATTCAAATAATTTGTCCATGTGTTTTCAGTTCATACATAAAGTTATAATTTCATATGACACTGTGCTATGTCAGAGCTCTATGCAATGGCAACAGGTAGTCTTAAGGGAAGAGCAAAACACTAAGATTCTTAAACTTAAATTGTATTTACCATATAAAAACCTCTAGGGTTGTCAAAAATTTAACAGTTTTGACTTTGATAATAGCTAGTCTCCCTAATAGGGAGGGAGATTTGCTTCAGCATTACATTTACTCAAAGACACTGTTCCTTTCTGAATGTTCCAAGACACATATATTCTGTTCTTTGTTTTGGTAAGCAGGCTTCTACATCTAGGGAGACAAATAAATGCCAAATATCAAGGAGAAAAAGAGCCAGGTCTTCCAGGTAAGATGGGTTTTTGCTGTTGATCTTGGGATCTTTTACTTCCTGGAGCTAGTTTTACTTCCTCGTCTGCTAGTTACCAACAGACCCAGAATGCTTTTCAACAACTCCTCTTTGCTATTATCTCTCTCTTATGATCAAAGTTTCCAACCAGTAGACAAATAATAACTTTTGGACATTGATTTTAAAAACAAATGTCTTATGTTTTTTGGCTAGTATATGCCAGTCAATTGTTGAGGGCTGGCAATTATATTGAACAGAAAATGCAGTTCAACATAAACAAAAATACATGAAACCAGTAAAAACCTTATTTTTAGAATTGTCCAGTTGTGGAATTGAGATCTGTTCTATTCTCATCCAGTTCAAACTTAAGTCCATTTGGTGACTTTATAGCAGGAGGCAGACAAAGAATATTGGTAGATAAGGAATTCCCTTAGAGAGCAGGACAATCTGCTAGATATGCCAGATAGGCCTTAAAAAAAAAATCATGCTTTTCAATATCCTTTTGTTTAACTCCAATAAATCCCCTCCTGACTCAGTGATAAGCAGGCTGAGGTAGTTACTTTTATTTTTGGCAACCATAAAAGTAGTCATTCCACCATCTGGGAAGACAGTATAAATGTCTTTTGAATAGATATCTCCAGGATAAATGCCAACTGAGCTGGTTCTGTTCAAAGCCTGCAGAGCAACTTGAACTCAATTATATACTTTCTTTAGCCAAATCAATATGCTGCACACTGCACCCTCCCACCAAGATTGTGTGTGACCAGTTGAATTTCAATTTCAGAAGTCTGTTCTTTTCTAAAAAGTTGAAAATACAGATTTTCAGTTTGAGAAAATAGACTATAATTTTAAAAGATAATACTCTGTGTATGTGAAATATGTCTTTGTTGAAAACAAAGCAACTGCAGGATTATAAACAAGTTGTGATTCAAATGCCTGGTGAATCCATTGTTTAGAACTTGCTACAAAGTTCTCCATTAAACCATTCACAAATCACAGCTAACATTTATTGAACATTTACTGCTTATCCAAACTTGTGCTAAGTGCTTACAACATTATTGATCTTAGTTTGAACAATTCTACTAGGGGGTGAATGCTTCTATTTTCCAGTTTGTTGATAAGGAAAGAGGTTAGGCAATCAAAGAGGTTAGGTAATCAATTCCAGGTTATACAGCCATAGAGTGTCAGGAAAGAACCTAAACCTCAGCAAGAGACCATCTCCAAAGCCTGCCTTAGCCTGAGCTTTAAATAGCATGAATTCCATTTCTTGCTGATGGAGCAGATCAGTGGCTAGTCTATTTATCCTAGAGTCATAATAGTAACTTTAGCTCTGAGACACAAATGTTCTGGGACACAGAACAGGATAGGGGAGAAATGGTTTTTTTTTTTTTTTAAGAAAATCTGGGCATTGATTGAAAGAATTTTTAAAGCATGATTTATCCATTCTGTATTTCTGAATGCAAGACTGAAGCAGATTAACCTTTGGACAAAGACCAATTAAAATTTTCCATTTTCTTTCCCTTTAAACTCTTCTGAGTATGATGGTGACAAGGGTATTTTTCACATATCTTTCAATTCAATGGCACTGAAACTAATTTTTATAAGCCGAATAGTAAGTACTAATTCTTAGTTAAAGAAGAACTATCATTATTTTCAATAACAACATTTCATTGGATATTAAACAATAATTAAACAACCAATCAAAAGTATCAAACCAACAATACTTATTTAATAATTATAAGTTATTTTCTTCAGCCTTAAAGACTTTCTAAAACTCTTTGATAGTCACACTTTTCTAGAAAAACTGCCAGGCTTTCTTCCTCTTTATCATGCAAATATTTAGCTTAATTAGTGTATTCTTTTTTTTTTTTTTAAGAGAATTTCAATATTTATTTTTAGTTTTCGGCAGACACAACATCTTTGTATGTGGTGCTGAGGATCGAACCCGGGACGCACGCATGCCAGGAGAGCGCGCTACCGCTTGAGCCACATCCCCAGCCCCTTAATTAGTGTATTCTTTTAGCTTCCAATTTTTTATATATACAAATCCAAAGCAATGTATTTACTGGTCACTATTTATTTCTTTATCAACCTCAGTTTTCCTCTTTGCTCAGTACAGACAGACGTAGGCTATTTCTTCTAACAGTTATGAGTTTGTCTTACTACCTAAAGCTCATAAAATAGAAAGTGTATTTTATAATTTAAAAGAAAACAGAACAATCTTTACTGAAAGTTCTTGGATGAGGCTTATTATGTACCTAAGATTCTAAATAAAAGTGTACTCTCTTCTCAGATGGCACATTTTCTTCTCTTTCATCACCGCTCCCTAACTTTTATGTAAACATGATGCCAAAAGCACCAAAATTCCTCTGTTAACAAGGTGGCTGATTCCACTTATCATATCTAGCTAAATGTAGTTGGAACTGATTTGCCAGTAGTGGTGATAGGTTATAGTGAATCACTCCCACTCCAACCAGTGCCCCTGGTGACCAATGGCATGTACTTCTGAGGTAATGGTCACAAGTTAGGCTGTGGTTGAGAAGCTGCTTTTCTGTAAGACAATGTTAACTGTTACTGGAATTCTACCCTAAAACTTGGCACTATCTCACAACTGATGTTTCTTAACATTTATAGACAATTACATACCCTCAGACTTGCAAAGTAAAATATAAGGGTGGGTTGGGATCCTCCTCCTGGTAGTCACCTATGGACTTCTTAAGGTAGAGATACCTAGTGGACTCTTAAAGGATAACAAATTAGACAGGCCACGGAGAAGAAAGAAAACATTTAAAGATACCAAAAGGGAATAGGAAAATGATACATGCAGATGACTGCAAGTAGTTTGTGATAGGTGCATGAGATAGGCATGGGTGGAAGAGTAGCAAGAGATATAGCTAGAGAAAGAATCTGTGACTTGATGGTGAAAGTATTTGTAGCAATGTTAGTTAGAGGGCAGTGGAGAGTCACAGGCCATCTGCAGCAAGAACAAAGTATGAACAGATCCACTCAGCCTTTGTGGACAGCTTAAAAGAGAACAGGAAAACAAATCAGGAGCTGCTATAATAATTCGGGTGAGAAATGATGAGTCTGAGCAACTCTGGGTATGGAGTTGTGGTCAGATGTAAGAGATACTAAAAATGAGAAAAATCATAGTGATTGATAGAGAGTAAGAAAGAGAGAAAGAGCTACGGTGATTTTCAAGTTGTTAATGTGAATAGCTGGTTGAACTAAAGGGCTATGAAGTAGCTTTAGCTTGGGCAGGGGATGAAATAAAACCAGCAGCCCGTAAAGGGACTGGCTATCCTTCATATGCTGATGCTTGTGAGGTACTGGTTTTCCATTTAATACATTTTCTCCTGAGAAAATAATTTTAAATCATCATTTTAAAGCTTATTTTAGCTCTCTGATATTACAAATTGTTTGCTCTATATTTCCAGAAGCAAAGAAGAGGTCACAATCAATGGTAAATATATTTTTAATTTATAGATTTCTGAAGTACCAAATGGATTAAAGCCAAATTCATAAGCAAATACATGTTACAACCCATCTGCTTTTAAATAGAAACAGTTTCTGTTTAAACAATTTCAAGAACAAATGCCAAATATCCCAGAGATGCTTTAGTTCAAATTACCAAGCCATGCCATGGTACTTGAACCATTTGCTACTTGGAAATACACCAAATATAGATACATGTTAGAAATCTGGTTTTGTAGACCTTAAATTACATATTCTGAAAAACAAAATATGAGAAAAAGATTTTTATGGTGTTTCACCTCCAAAATGCACACATTTTCTTGATGGGCTGAATACCAAGAAAAATTTCTAAGTATACTGATAAGTACTATAGGAAAGCCTGAGTAGCACTGGGCTGAACTAAAACCCCAAACTGCAAAAGACTCTTTACAAGTATCTAGATGCTTACAAAACAGAATAATTTTGAAAAATCCATTAAAATGTATTTTATCAAGGATAAATTATATAGCCAGTTTTCTTGGAAGGAATGAATTATCAAAGTTCCGAGACATGATTTTTTTAGCATTTCTCAAAAAAATATTTTATGAAACTCATACAAATCGGTATCTAGTTTCATAATAACCATTAATGTAAACCTAGGGTAACTTTTTGCTCTACTTATTTCTTAATCTGGCTTAACCTAGGTCAAAAGTAGAATAAATTTCCTACACATAGAAGTCTTAAATGAAGAGCTGGTAGATAATAACTCCCACATCCATGTCCCCCCCAAAAAAAGGAAGGAGGGAGAGAAAAAAAATAAATAACTGTCATCAAATGTTGACTCTTTTGGATACCTAGATTCATGGTTAGTCTATTGAAACTGCTTCTAAAACATGAAAAGGCTGGTATTAGTAGCAGAGAATATTTTCTTTCTTTTTAATATGGCAGAAAAGGAAGGAAGGAAGTTGGTCTTCTCAACTGAAAAACATCATATATGAAAAAAATAGAGAGCTTAAAATATTTCTATTATAATTGACAAATACAGTGTCTTGGCAGTGTATTAGAAGAACCACTTACTCAAGAAGATCTGGATCCAGTCCTTCTGATATCATTTTGTTTCTTATTGCCATCACCGGAACACCCTAAACAAAACATAATAATCCAGTCATTAAAAATGTCTCCGTGCCTCCTTCATTGTGCTTCCACATGCCATCTAAAATAAGATCTTTAGATGCATCATTATTTAAAATAGTCCTATTTGCTTTTGTTAGTCTGTGCACTTGAATAATTTGTAACAAAGTACACATGTAAGCTTATTCATTACTAATTCTGCTGTATAGAAAGCAGAGATAATATTCCCGCACTTATGTAGCCAACAGAAAGAAACACTGATAGGTCAAATGATTAAAACCAACTGAAGTGATACAATGAATACTTACTTAAATATAGGAATAAATGTCTTTTCAAGTAAAAATAAAGATTTCAAAATGTTTTTTAAATATAGTCATACTAATATTGTTCTAATAAGAAAATGATCCAATTCCATTTGGACACCTTAGGAACATAGGTTAAATAGAATTCAAGGACCCCCTGGGTACTTCATTATACATATTCCAAACACCAGTACAAACACAAAGCAATAACAGTTGTATACGTGTATTAAGTTGCAAAAATATTCAGAAAATGTGAATTTCATCATTCAGGTTAAGAATATCAAAACAGTAAGAAAAGGATACAACAGAAATAAACACAAGTTTACTGGAAAAGGAATCTGATTTGATGAATAAACACACTTATTTACAGCTCACCTGATTAAACTCTAAGGGAAACAGTCACAATCAAACCTCCGTTAACTCCCCCTCTTCACACCATTCCCAAAGATAAAGAAACTAACCTGATGTATAAAATTAACGGCCTTGATTATATCACTTCAAGAAGTAGGGTGGATCACTGAAGGGGATCTTGTCCTTATGTGTCTTTATCCCATATGGCAGAAGGAGGAGGTTGAGTTGGGTCCAATGGGAAAAAGCTCAATCACTGCTCTATTGCCATTGCAAACTCTTCCCTTCTGTCTTCCCATGCACAAGCCAGCTGTGCCGTTCAGTTTGGAACTTAAGGTACAGAAGAGGCTCCTTGGGAACTTTGATGCTTTAACCCAATTTCTCAGAGCTGGTGCCTAAAGTTTCTGGGCACTAGCCCAGCTAAGGTTCCTTTGCTTTCTTTTCTAAAAGTCCCTGATGTGTTTTCTGGCCTCTGGGATCCTACAAGGTGGTTAGCAGTGAATTTTCTGTGGTTAGTGGTAGAATTCTGATATCCCAACCTACACTTCAATGTTTAAAACATCATGTGGCAGCACAATGATAATAGAGACCTGCATAATGGGCAATGTGAGATTCAGGGCAAGCCAGATTACTGGAGGACCAAATAAAGAATCACTGAGGTGATCTTTAAGTTATTATCCTGAAGATAGGTTAGTAGTTTGCTTCAAATGAAAAACACAAAAACTTAGAAATACACTAATTTTTATTTGTCATACATAATAAGCTTGTCTAAAATATTTTTAAAGAACAAGTAAATATCCTCACAGTTACTCCTCTTGTCCAAAATGCAAATTTTACATTTCCAAATAAAATCTGACTTAAGTCCAGACAAGCACATGCAGAAACATGGAAGCCAACTATATTATGAATTCAATACAAATATATTTCTTGTTTTCAAAAAAATTATTAATGTGTAATTACACAGTAGTGGGTTTCATTGTGGCATATTTGTATAAGCACATAACAAGTTGATTGATTTTAGTCCCCAGATATTTCTTATAGAAATGTTATAGATCTTCCTAAATCAGGTCAGATTATCATTAATGATGATCCTTGGGTTTTAAATCAGAAAATTTTATTTCAAAAATTTCTTATTTACCTTTAAACTGTCCAGAAAAGGCATTTATAAGAAGAACCATAATTGTTGATTTGGGCTGAGGAGGAAGAAAAGTCCCTGTGCTCTCTTAAAGTTTGTGAGGTTAAATGAGGCTGGCAAACAAAGGCTTTCTTTCAAGATTACAAGTCACTCAGAAGATATCTTCTCATGAGGGGGAGAGCAAAGGCAAGGCAGCCATCTGAAGAACCATTTATATATTTATCTTCATAGCTACTGTGTTTTATATTATGAATTAGTAAAATTTAACCTATTAAGATTCAAATAACAATGGATGCTTAAATGCATTCTAAGTACTGGATAGAATTTAAATAGCATCAACATCAAATCCTCTTCAAAACCATACCCCTAAAAGTACTCTTGTTCCACAAGACAACTTTATGATATTCTGAAAAGTGAATTATGTTTGGAAGACAAAGAAGATAGAAGATAAAACTCTGGACCTTCAGTAACAAAGTTTTAAGGATAAATGGAAGATTAGAAAAGAAAAAGCCTACTTTGCTTAGCAGTATGCAATGTGAATAAACTCTTTACATTCGGAATAAAATAAGCAAGATATTAAACAAGCACCAATTTTTAAATATATCACCTAGAACCAAGACTTAACTTTAGATTTAAAACAAAATTTACTTAATAACAAACTTAATTTAAGTTTAATAATAGAGGAGAAAGCTAACTCCTTAAATGACAAAGAATTTAACTAGATAATTAAATGTTATCCAACTATTTAGGATACCAGGGAAAGTTAGAATCTTGGAACATTTCATAAAAAGAAAAAACACTAAAATACTAAGGAGATAAAAGGGGAAAAAAATGGAGGTAATGTCATACTTCTTTAAAAAAAAAGCTCTCTCAGCTTCTATTAATTATGGTTTGATGGTATACGGGCTTTCTATAAACCCAATTTTGTGATTTACTTATTATAATTAGAATAATCCACAGGACATCATTGGAAAGGTTAGACAAATAAGTTACAAAGCTGAGAAAACAGAAGGGAAAAGAAATGAGGTTGAAAAAGAAATTCCTGAAATACAGCAAAGAAAGTATGTATGGGGTGGAGGAGAGGGGAGATAGTGGCAGAAAGAGAGTAATGGAGAATAGTGATGTTAGTGAAATTAGTAGAATTAGAATTATCTTAACATAGTTTAACATTAGTAGAATTAGATTTATCTTAACATTAGTTTCATGGAATTGGTCATAGTAAAAGGATATCCATATTCTAATCTTAGCTTCTTGGAACTGGTTACAGTACAAGAGTATAGATAAACCCAAAATTCAGGAAGTCTTCATCATTTCTATATAGGTAAAGGAAAATACATATGACTTCTAATATTTTATCCTATGAAAGACATATTATCACACTTTTGTACAAATCTCACAAAACATGATAAAAAAGAATAATTTGGCCTGGGTTCCAAAGGATGCATTCCAAAGGGATTTGCTGTAATGTTTCCAGTGATGTTGCTTAGAAAATTGGTTGTTTTTCTATATTCTTCCTTAGACGTCAAGTAACAAAGTCTGGTTTGTTAAACATCAAAAATAAGTGTCCAATTTCTAATCACCAAGAGACAAAGCTACTGGTGGTCTAAGGAGGACATGAGAGACCTCAAAACTAAAGTCTACTGAACTGTGGGATTTTTTTTGGCAAGTGATAATGGCAGTTTGTCCAACATAAGTAATGAAGAAGAGAGAAGGCAGCCATAAGTCTGATGTTCCAAAAAATCACGTCTGTATTTGCGTCACTGGAGAAAGTGTATAAAGAAGCCACACTAATGAAATTATGATGGCAGCACTAATGGTTAAATACTAGTTTCTTATATCACAAAAACTGTCTGGAGGTTTAAATCCCTGCCAATATTTATATATATTTGTTGCTGGGTTAATGAAAGCCAAGCTACTAAGTCTCTTTATAAACCAGGTTGAAATTTTCATGAAGTTTTACATTAGAAGAAAGGAAAGTTACTATTAAGTTTAACAGATATAAATGACTTTGTGTTTTTTAAAATAAAAAAATGTTCTTTGTATTTTAGCTTTTCCTCTCATTTTATGAGTTTGAATCACAACAATTCAGTTAGGAAAGAGGGAAAATATGAAGTTTCTTTTTCTACCTAGAACAACAATAAAAAGATGTACTGAATTGATAGGTGGACAAAATGTTTTTTATTTTTCAGGAAGAAGGAAAGAGCAGGAATTTGAAAAGATGCTATTGGCTAGGAAAAGGCAGGATGTTCTTCAATCACGTTCCTTTTACTTTAATTTAGTGAAATGCACTCAACCATATCTTTGCCTTTTGACTTTCAATAGTGCTATTTTTAAAATAGGCTGCATTTAATGAAATACTTTTGTAGGGTATTATATTTAGGACAATTTTTTCAGATAGATAACTGTTTCCTAAAAAAATCATAACACAAAAGAAAGCACATACGTAATCTTTCTCCATCTGTAAACTTTCAAGGAAGGCATAAAATATCAATTTAAACAAATCTCTTCATCATTATAACATGAATATAGCTCCCTAACAAAAGTGAAGTTTTATCTCTAAAGACTTGTATGAATCTAGAAAATGTTATACTCTGATACTGTTGCTATCAAGGGTTGAACTTCAATATATAGGTCAATAAAAGGCTCACAAATATTGACTAGTACTATACATAATGAAAGCTAAAAATAAACTATTGCCTTTTCAAGGATTATCTCAAAAGATGAATTTGTAGTAGAAATACTTTCTGACTGACTGCCATCATATTTCTTTAAGGTGAAGGAACAACTTACGTGAAAAAATGGATGAAAATGAAGATGGCCCAGTGGTACACACCTGTAATCCCAGCAACTATGAAGGCTGAGGCAGGAGGACTGCAAGTTTGAGGTCAGCTTCAGCAACTTAGCAAGACACTATCTCAATAAGTGAATAAGTAAATACATAAAAAGGGCTGGGATGTAGCTCAGTGTACAGTGTACCCAGGTTTAATCCCTAATACTGCAATTAAAAAATTAACACATACTGGTCATGATCAGAACCCCAGCAAATTGGTAAGGCAATTACTATTCTTTATTCCATAAAATAAATACATTTTAGAAAGATGTCTGTACCTTTTAGGGATAAGGAACTATGAAGAAAAAACTTTAAGAAAAATTATTTCAAAAAGTTAGGAATCTGTTATTATGAGACAATTCCAAATAAAGCTGCATAAATTCTTTCCATGTGATT